GTAACTTTAGCTATGTGACTTTAGGTTAAAAATTACTTAATTAACCTAAAATCGCTTTTCACTTCTGTAAAATGGGGATAATTTTACCTACCACAATGAATGGCAATGAAGACTAAATATGACAACATGTATAGAAACTAACAGTCAGGCACACAGTAGGAGCTCAATAAATGGTAGTTCTTACTACCTACCTGGTCACGGTTCTTCACTGGTCTCTCCTAATCCCTAACCAGGACCTCTCTAACCTTCTCTACTCTTGCAGATTGTTTCCAATATTAGCTGTTCCAAAGTTTCTCTACTGGAATTAACTAGGGTGTTGAGAAATGAACTAAAGGTTCCTTATCAGCACTAATGAGGTAATACTACGTCATGCAAAAAACATATATTTTAAAATATTTTTCCTTCTACCTTGTAATTTCCATTAGTTACCTCAAACCCACATTAGTAAAGTCCAACTTTTCATAAACTTGAGTGACGGTAATATGGAGAATAAAGGGTCAGAGCAGTAAAGAGAACTGTAACCTACTCTATCCATTCCTTTTCTTGTGCCTTAAGAAAATGAACAAAATCCTGCATGAGCCAAGAGAACTGTACCGAGTAATCCCTGTAGGTGATCGGCCATGAAGAAAGTAGTGTTTCTGCAGAGGCGGCTATGCAGAGGCACAGCCACCTGGTGAAGATGCAAATGTGTATTAGAAGCAAATTCCCCTCTTCCCCTAGTATACACCAAAGGAGGGTTACCCTTGGTGGGTGGGAGGGAGAAGGTGAGATGGGTTAAAAATCCCTGCACCTGCCTCTCTTTCTTGACTCTCAATGTTGATAATGAGGGAGTAGGTGAGTAGGTGGTAAGAATGTGTAGGCAGCAAATGGACATTTTCTTACCACTTATTCTCTCCTCAACAACATTCAGTATGACTTCTTTCCTTATTACTCTACTCTACTAAAACTTCAATTGAAAATCATTCATCAACTTCTACTGAAGAAAGTGGCTTGCTTGAATTCTCATACTCCCCAATCTCTCTGCTCTCCTTAAAACTCTTCTTCTATGTTTGATAAAATATAACATTCTCCTGATTCTCTTCTTTATCTTTTTTACTGTTTCTTCTCTCCTTCTATATGACTCACTTTATTCTCCTTCAAAGGAAATGATTCTCTGATCTTTTCTCTCCCCACATCTCCCTCATCAATTCAACGCATTCCCATTGTTTCCATTCTCTAAGCACATATGATCTGAAAACCTCTCTCCCTGACCCCATTCATGATTACAAGCTTGACAGCCATTTTCAACTGCTTAAATATCTTGCCTCATCACATATGTAAAACCACTTATAACATCTCCTGCCCACTCCCCATCTCCAACAAAAAACTGATCCCTCTCTGGCTTTCATGTTTATATTAATGACCCCACCATTCTCCTAGTCATACCTGATGGAAACCAGTGTCATCTTTGATCTTCGACACTTCCTTTTCCCTAATGTTCTAAATACATTCAGTTCCTAAATCCAGTAAATTCTACCTCCAAAATGTCTCTCCTATCCTCTTATATTCCTATTGCCACTACCACAATTCAGATTTTTATCATTTCCCACACAGACTACTCCAAAGACCTCCTTAGTTAATGTCTTTCCCTAGAGTCTTCTTGCTGCTAAATTAATCTCTCCAAAACACATCCCTGATCGTAGTTCCTTAGTAAAAAACTTCCAGTGAGCTCTCACTGGCTAACAAATTAAACCCAATCTTCTCGGATAGGGAAGCACCCCAGAACTTAAACCTCATCTCTCTTTCCAATTTTATCTCCTATTCTCTCATATATATGCACCTATGTTGGAGTTGAGTGGATTTCTCTCTGTTCCTGAATATTCCCTACATTTTAGCCCTTCATACTTTGGGGTTTATGAAGTATCCTCTATCTAAAATACCTCTACTTAGTCTTTTCACCACCTTTCTGCCCATTCTTAAAAGCCGAACCCAAATACCATTTTCTCTCTGAAGCTCTCTCATACCTTCCCCAATGGGTGGTATTTTACCCCCCTCCCTAAAACCTCTAACATTTTGTATGTATTCCACACTTTTGCCTGTAGTTATGTTCAGAATTTACAGTCACTTGAAACTGCTTTCCCCTATGATCTTGAGCTCTGAAATCTCCCTCTCCAATCAAAGTCTCCTGTTCTTCCCCTATGCCACTGAACGTATTTTAGGCTTTTATCTTTCAGTAAGGAATATCCTATGACACACAAGCTATTCTCCCACTCTATTGTTGTTTTATATTATCCCTTGGTCCCCTCCCCATTCTAAATCCCAATGATAGCATTTTAACAAGGATATCCATCTCCACCAGGATATTCCACAGACACATCAAACTCCTAATGACTATGATTAAATTATCCTCTCCCACGAACTCAATTCTCTCGAGCTCTTTTAACTGACTACATATCCTGACTCCTTCCCTCTGCACACACTCAGTCACCAGGACATGCTGAGTTCATCCTTAGATCTGTATTTCTTCATCCCTAAATTCACTGCTCAGGAGATCACATCACTATCTAACTGGTCCTTTCTGCCTCCTGTAGCCCCCACTTGCAATTCTTCTGTACAATAGCTAAATAACGTTTCTTAAAAGCATTGATCCAAAAGTACCACACTCTCCTGCTTAAAAACTTTCCAGGGCTCTACATTTTCTATAAGACAGTATCAGTCCTATTACCTACCCCTTCTCCAAACACAGATCCTAAGTTATACTTTCCCTTGCTTTCATGATTTCATGCAGACACTATTCTGTGCTTGCTGAAAGAGTTCCTAGTCATGTCCAGTTCACCTATTCTGTGAAGACTCCATTAGACTTCCTTATACCCCTGTCTCCCAAACAAAGCCTGAGTCACCTCCTCCTCTGTATTTCTACAGTACTTTGTTCATGTAACTAACAGACTTCTTATCATATTATATTACTTATCTACTCACTGGTCTTCCTCCTCCAGTCTGTGGGCTCTTTAAGAGAAACAAGCTTGTTTAATTCATCTTTACATCCACAGTATCTAGCATAGTATATGGCACATAAAAAGCTTTCAACAAATGTTTATGAAATAAATGACTCTAATTTCAGAATGCCTGATATCAATCTACCCCAGGTGTTTTACCAAATCATTTAGAGTAGAAATATGTAGAAAAGTACAGGATAGGTACTAAATACATGGGTAAAATGAAATGAGAAGGTGATTCTAGGACACTTGTACCAGTTCCTGAGGTTAGGGCAAGAACAGAAGAGCCACCAAGATTAGACTTCCCTCCTCACTGCTTTTCCCACAGACTACGAGTCATGCTAGACTCTACATAGAAGCCGCAACCCAGACAGCAGAAGCATGTAGGGGGTGAGAGGGAGTCAGGAGTGAGTAGGGGAAAGAAGTCCTAAACTGCACCTACAGAAGTGTCTAGGGTCACAGATCAGACTCAGCTCTTGCTCATGACACATCATCATCACCATCACTTTTCACTACCCACAGCTTCAACGACATTTACTGATCACTTATCTATTAGGTGCCAGACACTATGCTAAAAACAGTACCATACACATCATTTACTTTTCATGACAAACCTTGCCAGGTCAGTACTGTCCAAATTTTAGAGACAATGAAACAAATCTAAAAACAATTAGTTATACCACCCAAGGTTTCATAGCTAATGTATTAAGAGATAGAGGCAGAATATCAACATGAATCAGACTTTTCAAAACCCATTCATTCGCTTTCTGCTCTACTATTCGTGTGCCAGTGAGGACTGCCTTTACTGCTTTGCATTATTCAGTTATCTTTGTAAGCACATGTTTTGTTTTCCCTACTACTAAAAATGTATCTTTGAGGGTTGAGTCCATGTCTAATATTTTGTATTTCTTTCCTTGCATCTCATAATGAGCCTTCTATACAGTAATTACTCGTATTTGATTAATTTATTATTATACTTGTGTACTAGCACAAATAAAAATGAGGCACACCAAACTTCAGTTACCATGAGTAAAAAACAAAAATGAATGATTTGGCCCCTTTCACAAAGGTATGTCCGGGGGTACTGGGGTAAGACTGTAGGAACTAGGGTAAGTCATCAATGGTAGGAGACCCTAAAACAGAAATCATTGCTACAAAATCAAGGACAGTTTGTGTTTGTATATAATAATAAGAACAGTATCTAGGATATACTGTTCTTTTCTTCGTATCTGGATATAAATGTATAAGCAGTCATACATTCTACCAAGGAAATAAACAATTTATTTAAATGTGGAAATAAATATGCTTTAATGAATGTCAAAACCTTTTTTATTTATGTTACAGAAAAATATAAAAACAGGTAAGAGTGGACTTGTATCTTCCACATAGGTTGAATTCTAAAGTCAATGTCAGCACATAAGGCAAAACTAACTAGAGACAATATAGTCCTTGAAATTACTGAAATCCTTGAAAATCCCTTAAATTTCCTTTAAAGCATAGCATACTATAGTACCAGCTCTCAATGTATTCATCTTAGACAGTTTTCCCTCCCGCATGGAACAGATCTCCATTTCTTCTGCCGTGTGTCATGTGAGAATTTGGCTGATATTTAGGGGCAACAGTGAATGAAAAAGCATACATTTACACACTAGAGTCATATTCAACACTGTGAAATTCTTAGACTATCAGTTCCTATAATAAGTACATAGGAACTGATTTCATCTGAGAAAACAGCAGATTCACATCTTCCATCTCATGCATGCTAGGCATATGTCATTGTGAAATGAGAGCTACAATTATCACATTATTTAAATTATTTGGTGTTTTGCTTTTGGGTGTTTTAGTATTGATTTTAATTTTTGACTTGAGCCCAAAGATTTGAATATGAATAAATTATACTCCAAGAAATGTGACTCTACTATATGTGCTCTCTTTATTGTGTTACCATAGATGCCTAGAATTTAAGGAACAAATAATCTAATACTATAGTGTATCACTTAAAAAAGATGAAATAACCTATCTTACCTTCATCTATTGATGCTTCACTACTGTATCCATCATACTCTGCAGATAGAGGACTGTATTTTTGTCTTGTTTCCCAAGCATAGTTCTTTTGTCTAGAATCTGCCAGTGGTAGTCTGGAATTGTGTGTTCTGGATAAGGCCTCATGATATTTACCCAGCGCTTCATCTTCACTTTCAGAGGATGAACTATGCTCATCTTTGTCCATGTAGGAATTATCTATTTGGGATAACAGGAAGAGCAAATGATAATTTTAACAAAGTATGACAAATTTGCTAAAGTTATACAAGGGTACTTCATGGAAAAACAGAATTGAAAAATTACATATTCTTTCCATTAACTTTTTGAAGTGCATACACACATATATATATTCACACACAAATATATATGCACATATATATACACAACCTACATTCTCAGCTTTAGAGAAATATAATTTTTCCATGTAAGAAGCCCAGGCTTTAGATGTTTTTTTTGTTTGTTTGGCTGGTTGGATTTTATTTTTTGGCTGCTGGCAGGTACAGGACCTGAACCCTTGACTTTGGTGGTATAACACTGTGCTGTAACCAACTGAAATAAGCAGCCAGCCCCTAGATTTTTATGTTTCTATAGAAAAAGATCAATGATCAATTGGTTTATTCTAAATAATGTTACAGAGATTTTTCAACCATGTTACACATAAAGGAAATTATAGTGCTTGACATTTTACACAAGATTTTAAAAGAATCAGCAACACAAAAATGAAGTTATAAGTATTGCCAGTATATATGGACCTGATTCAAATAACTTGTTACAAACACATTTTTGGTTCTTATTATGGCCAAAATTTTCAAAACTGACAATGCTCAGTGCGAGCAATGAAACAGAGAAATAGACAGACATATACTATTGGTGGTATTATAACTGGTACAACTTTTTAAAAGAGCAATTTGGCAGAACATATCAAACTTTTAAATCTGCATAGTCCTAGATCCATTTCTAGGAATTTGCCAGTTCCATTTCTAAGAATTCGGCCTAAGAAAATAATTAACAGATGAGCAAAGATCTACATTTCAAATAAGAAAACCAAAATAAGATATAACCTAGATGTATATCAGTGGACCTTGGTTAAGTAAATTATGATACATCTATGCAATAGTATACCACGCAGTCATTAAAAATGAGGACGTGAACTTACAAACACCCAAAGGGAAAGAGTAACTATAACATCATGGTAAGAGAAAAGAGAAGGTCATAAAACAGAAGGTATAAAATTGTGTTACCATTTGAAAAAAATATATATACACACACACACTGCAGTGCGTATGTATGCACATACAAAAATGTTTGGAAAGATACATGCCAAACTGTTAACACTTACTACCTGTGAAAGGTGGGTTTATTAGGATATTTTACTTAAATATACCTAAATTTCAAACAAAATTTTCAGGAGGTATAAATTTTATATTATTTTAAAAAGCACTAGTTATTACTATTTTTTTAAAAAGGTAAACATTTTGAAACTGCACCATGTCGTATTCACTTAAACCAAGATACAACCTTTCTAGAATTATAAAACAACTCTAGAAAGGTAAAGAGACCACAGAAGTTAGAATCTGCTTTTTCAATCTGGTTATTTTCTCCTTACATCAGTTGAGATCACCTGTAGTAAAGAAATCAAGGTCAAAATTTGGGTGGGGACGTACAGAATAAGTAACTTTAAAATACAGGACAGAAATAGAATGTTTATAGGTAGAAGTAAGAGAGCTTAGATGTCATCTAGTCTAAGTTGTGCATTTTAATTCAGTAAAAGAAAGACATAAAAGGGTAACCAATGTCATATTCTGCACTGTCCAATATGTATCCAATAGTCTCATTCAGCTATTTAAGCTAATTAAAATTAAATAAAATTTAAAATCCAGTTCTCCATGCTACTAGCTACATTTCAAGTGCTCAATAGCCACATGTGGCTATTGGCCACTGTATGGAACAATGAAGACATGTTCCATCATTGCAGAAAGTTCTACTGAACAGTGATGAGATGAGAGCAGAGCAGGTCTAGAACCAAGGCCTCCGACTCCCAGTTCAGACGTGTTAGCACTTGGTGGGATACTATGTTGATGGTCTTAGGCAGCAGGAGGGCTCTGAGTCCCCTGAGGAGGGTAACTATCCCCTAGTCAAACTTCACTTATTAAGAAATGTTACCTGAAGTGGCTCTGCATTCAGAAATAGAGAACGAAACACTTCCTCTTTCCATACCTAATAACCCCCATGTCAGAACCTGAAACACAGGTACTAGTAATATCATAGTTCAGTTAAATGAAGTTCAGCTAAACGAATTCTACAGGTCAAACAACTTTAAAAAAGATTTTTGGAACACAGTATGTTTAAGTTTAGTACTGACTATATTCTGGAACACTTGAGAGAGATATTCAGCTTCTTTAAGTACTCACATACTTCTTAATGAAAACAAATTAAAACAAAATTTAAAACGCTATACTGCTACTTGTATTTATTACAGTTGATTCTACTGTTATTTTCTGAATAAAATAATATATAAAATAGTTTATTTCTTTATTATTTGCTACTTCAAGTAATAAGGCTACTAGAACTAAACCAGAGCTACCAAAAGCCACTGAATCTGACATTCAAAAAACTGCTAGAAGAATGGACTCCAAAATGGATACATTTTCAAAAACTGGCATTCCTTTTTAATTAGCTCATTTATCCTGGATCAGCCTCTCCTATACCATTCTTTCTTTCTTTCTCTCTCTCTCTCTCTCTCTCTCTCTCTCTCTCTCTCTCTCTTTTTCATTCATTCATTCATTTATTTTGGCAGGTGGCCAGTACAGGGATCCGAATCCTTGATCTTGGTGTTATAGCACCGAGCTCTTATCCAACTAGACTAACCAGCCAACCTTATTAATATCATTTAAAACTATTCATATAATCGATACATGGAAGATCCCTATTATATATGTAGTCATGTAGCAGAACTAAAAAAATCTTCCTCATTTCTACTGCTACTCAGTTTTTTGTTATTTTACGATAATCTGAATTTATAAAAAAATTCCAGATGTACACTTTATAAATAAAAGCCAGTGTAGTTTTGGTCTTGTGATCAGATCAGCAATAAATGGAAATGACTAAGGTATTAACAGAAGTAAAACTGATAGTAATGTTTTGGAAAGTCTCACAAACACTGTGGTTGAAAAGTGTAAGTGCTTAGTCAGAATCTTAATTCTATATAGAGAACTCAAGAATAATAATAGGGCCGGCCCGGTGGCGCACTGCTACAGTGCGCCGCTTGCGAGCGCGGTGGCACTCCTGCCGAGGGTTCGGATCCCACATACAGACCAGTTCCCGCTCACTGGCTGAGCGAGGTGCGGGCGCAGCGCCGAGGGTTGCGATCCCATTGCCGGTCCCGGTCCGGTACGGGCGCGACACTGAGGGTTGCGATCCGTTGCCGGACACGAAAAAAAGACAAAAAGGAAAAAAAAAAAAAGAATAATAATAGACTGTTCATGAATATTCACTGTAAACATACAGCCGTTATATAAAATTTTTAATGCATGGCTAAATGAATAAAGATATACCCTGAAGCATGTTATTTAATAAAACCTATTGCTCTCAAGGAAAAATATAAAACATTTGATATAGATTCTTATTAAGACAGATTTGCAGAGCAACATTGCATAAAGGAATGTGGAGTTAGTTATAAAATATAAAATTTTTTAATGTAACTAAAGCATACCAAATAAACTACTAAAGTATGCACACTACTTAAGAAAACCATGGAGTTTCTGATTGTAGATAAATGAACATTAAGAAACATGAGAGCTGCTGAAAACTTGGCCAAATAATGCAGGGACCAGGGGCAATACTTAGTAGTATACAAATAACACGAATGCTCTTGAAATGATTGTAAGAAAAAAGTGAATGACATTAAAAATGTCTCCCAGTAAGAAGATTCAAGAAAGTCTTAACTTAGATATATAGAGAAGTATAGGAAAATTGGGAAACTTGGATGATATTCTCCCAATTTAAAAAGTCATGAGAAAATTTAATCACTCAAACCAACATTAGGAGACCTCACCTTTTTCTGGTATTATCTTAGAATATTTTTCATCTTTACTCTTTGCTGTTCCTTTCTTGGCAGAAATGGCTTCACTTTTCTTTGTTTTTATATTTGCTTTCATTTGGTAGTATTTTGTTGGATTTATTTGTTCTTTGATTTTTCCAGGTAACTTGTCTTTATAATTAGTTGATGGTACTGGATGTAAGTCTTCTTTCATAATGGATTTCTGTATCATGTGTCTATTGCTTGTCAAAACATCTTTTGGACAACACTCATTTTCTGAGCACTCATTCCCTTTGGATCTTTTACTTTGGGTATGTTTTCCCACTTTCTTTAAATGATCACAATGCCCTAAACCATTAAGATGTTTATTTTTACTGAAATGCCCCAATTTCTCTTGATCTCTTCTCAAAAATACATGTTGAGGTTCAGCATACTCTTCTATTTTATGATTACCTGTAGCAGTATGTGTCTTTTGCTCATACAGTACGTTTATTCCATTATTATTCTTCTGATTTCCTTTCATTTCTTGATATCTTACCTCCTTAAAATCATTCTTACCATTATTGGAAATTCCTAATCCAATTTTTTTACTGTTGTCAGTACTTTCAAATTCTTGACAAACAGATCCAGCCCTGAGTATCCCATTATTACTCATGTGGCCTTTCAAAGGAGAATCACCAGCATTACTGGTTTCTTGATATTCTGACAGAGTCTGTTGTCTATCATTAATATATTTAAATACTCTTTCTTCATGCATTCCTTGATCTTGCTTTTGTGAAACTGAAGTATTATAACAATTTATTTGTTTTGCTCTGTGCTCTAAATTGGACTGTGTCTTTTGACACTTGGTGTTTTTGGAGACTTCTGGTAACACAGCATTTTTTTGTTTAGAAGTATCTACAGCTTCTCCTGCTGCACAGCTTTCCTCTTCTGGGCGAAAGCCATTTATCATACTTGTTACCTGCTCAGCAACTGAGTCTGTTAAAGCACAGCTGACCTCCCCAACAGCGATGGTTAAATCTTCTACAGCACAACTGATTGTGTCCACCAGAGAGGACACTGAAGGCAGATTCTGCTGAAAATTTCTGAAAAATGCCATTTTCTAATTCCTTGTTTCTAAAAGGTGCAATAAATGGAATTTTCTCTTCTCCAAATATCAAATCTCTTTAGAACTTGAACTTAATATTTACTTAAATGTTGCTACTCATCAGCTCAATATTAGTATTTCACATTGTGGCTTTTAATCTTTCTGTAAATGCATTATGCATCAGAAGAAACATGTTGAAGTAAAGACTCTTCAGGGGAACTGGGGGGAAATCAAACCACTTGGTTTAAATGTAATGACATTTTTCCCCCACTCCACAGCTATCATAACAGCAGCCAGACAATATTTTCCCCTGAAATACTATTGGTTTTTTATTCTATACCTGAAAGAAGAAGTATAAAAAGGATTTTTATTACGTACTTTTAGTTTACTTATTAACAGTCTATGTAAGAGAACTACTCTATCTTACTAGCAAACTACCAATATTATTTCAAACTAAGAAAAATATTAAAGGGAAAAATATTTAAACAATTTTGCATAGAGGTAAGAATAGGGAAGAGCAGGTGAGGACATCTGCTGAGTGGCTACTACATGCAAGGCACTGTAATTGAAACATTTTATCTTACGTTATCTCTTACAATAACCCTAAAAGGTAAATATTATTATTCCTATTTAATAAGTGAAAGAAAAACAAGGCTCAGAAAAATTAAGAAGGTCCCCATTACCTCCTCAAAGGCTCCTCAAGGTCAAAACGAGTTTTAAAACAGTAATAAGGGGATATTTAACTTCTTCATTCTCATTTGCTCACAAGTGAGTGCTGGTATTTTCCAGAGGCTACGTGACAGATTGAATGTAGAAGCAGATGAGAGAATCCAGCTGTCTCCTATTATGCCAGTCATTGACGAGACTGGCAAAAAATGTAAAACAATGTCACTCTTCTCACCAAACTTTCTTTTTTGTTTGGTTTTGGAAAACATGTCGTTTTTTTAAAAATTAAAAAATGTTATCTATATTAATATGTAATAACCTTATTGGATTTTTAAGAATAAATCAATAAAAATATTTAAAAATTTTCTCAGTTTTAACTCCTAATGTGACAAATATCAATAGATATAACCCACATAAACAAAAGTTCTTTGGGTTCCTCAATAATTTTTAAGAGTGCAAAGGGATCATTAGACTAAAGAAAACCCAGAAATGCTGAACCAGAGAATTACTGAAGGCTGCTAAAAGAGATTTCTTTAACCAGTTCACTCTACACATATGGTCAAAAAGCAGGCGGGAGTGGAATATGAGAAACATTGAACTTAACCAAATCAAAACTCCATAAAGTACTACAGTTTTCTAATGTAAAAGTCACAGAATGTAATTCAATAAGTAATAGATTTTTATGAGTAATGAGCCTATCACCTTTTAAGTTATCAGACATAAGAAAAAAGCATCTCTCCAACGTGTACACAGATGAGAAAAGCAAGGGTTCTTTGCCATTGTTTTTCAACATTCTTCTAAACTAACACCTTGCTTTTATAATTCTCAACTTGCTCTGCTATCATTTATATAAGCCAGTCTTTGGAAACAGCAAAGTAAAAACTCTTGTAGTAATTTAAAGAAGAATAAGTCCAAGGAAAATGTTTCCTTAAGTCAAAGAACAGTATCACAGGCCTCATCTTTCCTAGTAACTGGTGATACTAGATAATATAATGGCTATGGTGCCAAGGGAGGGAGTGGAACACTACTTTTCACAATCAGAATTAATCTATACATTAATTTACTAGGGAAAACCACCTGCTCCAAACAATAAAATTATCCATCAGCTAAGAATTAAATAGCACATAAAGAAAAGGGGTGAATACTTCTAGAGACAATAGATTTTAGCTATATAAAGTATCAAGATGTTTCCTTCCTCCTAAAACATATCTGCTCATATTATAGGCTAGAAACCATACCTTACATATAAAAAACAAAAATGTCATTTTGTGATAAGAAACAATTCACCTTTATGCAATATCTTAGCAATTAATGGGTAACAGAAAGACACCAGAATATAATTTAATTTATTTAATAGTAGGTTTTTTATAAAATAGTAGCTCAAATATTAGTTTACTATACATCAAAAGCAACCTTTTAATTGTATATATTAAAATAAATAAATAAAATAATAGTACAGATAAAAAGAACAAACAAGAGAAGGAGAAATATGATACTTACAAATTTTATCTTGTGAATTCTTCCTTGTACTGTATCCTGAACCAAGATCTGGAAACCCGCCAACATTTTCAAAACAGAACTTCTTATTAATATAGAGAAAAAGGAGCAGCATCAAGATAATAAACACCCCAACAGCTGACAAAAATCCAACTGCCTCTGGAGATACTAGAGGAAAAAAAGTCACAGCTGTAAGCATTTATTTTTCTTTAAACTACAAATAAGAAGGAAACACCCACACACAAATTAGAACACTGCCTTCTTTAAATTATATTTTTATATTGTCATAGTTTAAAATAGTTTCATTTATAAGAAAAACAAACTACAAAGTTTTATTCATTCAACAGCATTTATTCAAATTTTCTAAAAGTTTCCCTATAAATTATGTTGGAACAATCTTAAAAGAAAGACAGGAGTCTACAAAATAGGCAGTTATAGGTTTTATCCACTGAAGAGTATTACAAGAGTAATACATTTTAACACAAGAATTAGAAAAAATTATTCCCCATGCACAGGTATATTATTTAGTTAAATTCATGAGAACACACATTGTCCTTATCTCTAAAAGCTTCAATAGCCCTTTCTTATTAAATAAACTCTGGACTCCCTAATCTGGTATTTAAAGCTACAGCCTCTCTTTTCAATATTACACTCCAGTCAAATGGTTCTACTCAATGCCTCAGAATGAGCAATATTCAATACCACACTCCTTGTTTTAGCTCATCCTCTTTCCCTTTCCTGGAATGACCAACTCTTCTCTCTGCCACATCCCATTCATTCACTCAACCGACAGACATTTTTGGAGCATCAGTATTATATACATAGTTCCTGTTCTCCTTGAACAACCTGGTGAAGGCAGTTACAACACAGTGTTAGTAAAAAGGCCATGATTGGGGAAAAACAAGGACTATGAAAACCAAAGGAACACTTTATGTAGTGTCAAAGGATCAAGTAAACTTCAGAAAGTTATGGCTTCTATGGTAATATTTTAAGAATTAGTAAAAATTGGCCAAGTTAACACTACTCCAGATAGGAGGAACAACATGCATGAAGACCCACCAACAGGAGATCTCTGTATATTCCAAAACTGAATGGAAGTTTATTATGAGCTACCAGATTTTCATGAGAATTTGGTCTCAATAGAATACATGAAATCACCCAGAGAAATTTTGCATAGTGAGGACAGACAAAATCTTTTCCAATTTCTCCAATCCTCAGCAATCTTTCTTTCCTTTCAACTTCTGCATTACTTGTACACTACACCAGTCATTTGAAGTTAAATAGGAACTAAGTTTTTGTATCCCCTGTGCCTTACACCTAATATTCAAGTATTAGCTGAGAATGAATCCTAAGCCTCAAACATCCCCTACAACTTACAACCTACTCTTTCTTCCCACATCACTCAAGCAGTAACTAAAATGTTATCTCCTCCAAGATTCTTTCTTTAATCAGAAGAGCCATGAGAATTAGCATCTAACTAATATCTTAAAAATAAAGTCACCAACTGGCCAATGAGTGCTTTAATCTCCTAGCTTTTCATTATTTGTGAAAGCAAAGCACACCACATGTCAAACTGCATCTGATACTACGGTCTATTCAAAGCTGAGCCAGTGGTGTTGCAGTAGAAGGTGGTGCAGAGAGTGATACTGTAAGTGAGGGGAGGAGGTGGGAAGAACAGCAGGAGCGCTAGCTGGACATCAGGCTGGTGCTGAGAGATCTCACTACCAGGACCAAGAACTCACACCTAGATATCAGCCCCACCTGTCTCATTCTCAGGCTGGAGCCAGGGAAGAAAACAACATTTTAATAAAAGAAGCTAAGGTATATGACATATAAACAGTGGTGTACATCCAGCTTGAAGGATAAGGTAAACATGAAAATGGAAAAATTATCATCAGCATTTCTAACAGCGAGGAAGGTCAGAAGCAGGACAAAAGAGAGTAGTACTTCAATATTACACTGTAAATAGTAAATATGTATAGGAGTTTCCCTTTTAGCCCAGACCCAGAACACACACAGAAATTTAATGCCTTCAGTGGCAACACAGGTTTAGATATCCTGCAGCCTAAGAATCTCCCATCTCTTGGAAAGCTAAATGAGCGAGAAATCACAAATGAGAGCACATACCTCTTAAGAAAGCTAGTACTGCTAATAAAAATAGCAACAAATACATATAGCATATACTAGGTACCATTTTAAGCACTTTACATATATTAACTCATTTAATCTTCACAACGATCCTATTATTATCCCCATTTTTAATTGAGACAGAGATCTTAAACTATGTGCCCAGCTAGTAAGTGGAAGAACCAGGATTCAAACCCTGCCTGGGTCCAGTGTCTGTGTTTTTAACTGCTGCTCATACTGCTTCTACTGTTTTCCTTCTCTCTTCCTCTTGCCTCTTCCCATCCCTTGCCTCAATCCTTATTTCTGTGTTCCTCTTTTGGCTTCCTCCTTCCCATTATTTTAATTCAACCTAGTGGGAAAGATCAACTATAAACAGTATAATGTGAGTATAATATAGTAAGTGCTACAACAGAGATACAAATATAAATTATTACTGGAACACAAAGAAGAAGCTCTACCTGAGAAACTCATAAAATGCTTAAGAAAGGAGATGACACTTGGGTAGGGCATGAAAGATTAGTAGAAACTCTATAAACAGTAAAAGGAGAGATGAACTAGTATGGTCAAAGGCAGAAATAATGTACATGGCATTCTATAAGCATTCATGGGCAACAGTCATGGCTGTCTTATTTACTTCTGCATCCTCAAAGCACCTAGCATAGTGCCACACAGCCGACATATGAACATCTATGAATGAATTAATCAATAAATGAATAAATAAATGAATAAAGGAAAGATCAAGAATATACCAGAGGAGCTGTGACTAGAAATGAAAGCAAGGTCCAAATTGTCAAAGAACCTTGAATATCATCCAAAATATTTTGTACTTGGGAAGCAAAATGATTAGAGGCTTGTCTTGTAGAACTACATTGATCAAAACAATATAAAAACTGGAATATGGCAGGGAGTGAATAGTGGCAGAATATGATACATTTTTAAACTAAGCAGTGGCAGTGGTGGCAGAAAAGAAGGGTGAATTCTAGTCTTCGTTCAAAGAAAACTGATAATGGCTCAATCAATTGGATGTGAAGCATGAGAAAGATAACTTGAGGATAATTCTAAAGTTTCTAGTTTGAGTGGCTAGGTGAATGGTAACATCATTAACCAAACAAAAAAATACAAGAGAAAAGGCATTTGGTTTAGGGAATGAGGAAAAGAGGGAAATGGAAGCAGAGAGGTAGATAATTAGTTTAGCTTTTGATATTTTTCATTAGAAATGTCAGAATATTTCAGAGAGGGAAATATGAATTTGGTGTTCAAGTGAAGGTCAGATTAGTTATAAAAGACTTGGGATTTTTCCCTTTTCCTTCTCTTATGCCATGTGCAAGACTTCACTCACTAAATAAAACCAAATTGGCAAGTGTAGATGGTTCAGTTTCCTTAATGGTAAATCTTTTACCTTACAAATTCGTATATACCATCAATAAAGAAATAAATTATACTAACTTAGACCTTGCTAATAAAAAATATATTTTCATGCAGTATAAGACTGGAATATCTCCCCAATAATCTTATTTATGCTATGAATCTGCTTACAAAACCATTCTGCAGAAATATGTCTAATATAGTTAATTTATACGTAAGTCTACCTTTTTCAAGCATTCTAGGTCATCCACTGCAGGCAAGTAAATCTACTTAAAAATAAGGTCCTTAAGGAAGACCTTCAAAATCTCTACTTAAAAGCACACAGTCAATAATTAGTTTAGGTTAATAATATTCATTTTAAGAATTAACACTGTTTTCCCACAGCCCAAACTTATAAAATTTTAACATGATAAACCACAAAACCAAGAGCAACTTATAACAATGTTAACAATATCAATCACTTATAAGAATGCTTATTATTTACCAGGGACTGTTTTAAGTGCTTTACAAGCATTATCTCATTTAATCCTCATTACAACCCAATTTTACAGATACTGATATTGAGGCTGAGAAAAAGTAAAATTTTCAAGATCTTAAAATGATCAGTAAGTGACAGAATCTGGATTTGAACTCAGGCACACTAACTTCTGAACTCAAACAGTTCATTGCTAATTTCTTTGCTTCCCATTTGCCAGGCACGCTATAATTGCTTTCATTTTAAAGTTTAATACTCAAAACAATTTTATGATAGGTAAGTATTATAGTATCATTATCTTAGCCTGTAGTAAACTGAGGCCCAGAGAGCAATTAACTTGTCCAAGGTCACATGGTAGAACCTGGATTTGAACTCAGACATTAATTACCAAGCAATATTGCTCCTTACATGCCAACCTGCATATAAAAAATAAGGACAAGCTATGTGACCAAAGTAACATAGCTTACTACATATATTATGAGCAAATATTTTATTCCTTAGCTTTTACATATGTTATAAAATAGCAACTGATTTCAGCTTTCTCAGAAAAAATATATAAATTATAAAACTAGAATCACAACTTTTTTCTATTCAAGATACTTTCTAAAACATTTAAAAATTTTAGAAGTAGGCTTAGAAACCAAAATCAATGGTACATCCTTATATGTCACATTTGAAAAGTTAATAAAATAAAAATAATCTAAAACCCAAAGATTTTCTATAGAACAATAAGCTTGGTATTCATCAGTAGTGCTCAATAAAGAATATAACCAAACTCTCTGTGAGCTATATGATCTTCCATATGAATTATCGAAAGACCATACTGAAAAGTGAAAAAGGGCACAAGGTATAATATTGCACCAGAAAATACAGAAAGCTTAGTTTGTCCAAGATTAATAACTATTTATGTTAACGTACTCTGAACTGGCTTTAGTAGGTATCCTTACTCTACATTTAAAAATAAATAGATGTATTTACAAAAAAAAAAAAAAAAAAAAAAAAACCTAAAAAAAAACCCCTTTTGTCAAAATTCAAGCCTCAATAATAGTAGTAAAATTCGTTTTAATTTCTACAGATCAGTTGGCCATTGAAAGAAAATGATAAAATTATATTCTTATAAAAGTCAGAGCAAGAGCAAATCCATTTTGACTTTGAAAGTACTACAGAATTCACTAAAATTCCATTTTACATTTTGTTACAA